AGGGCCCTCCCCTCTGGGTCCTCTCTGCAGTCTGCTCCTCTTTCTGTTGAGTCTTGCCAATATGCTGGTCCTCCCCTCTCTCCTGCCTCTGGGACGTGTGCTCTCTCCTCTGGCCATCCCTCTGAACTCCTGAGGTCATGCCCTGCTCAGAGGTTCTCCTCTCTGCAGTTTCTGGCTCCTTCCTCTTTCTCTGCACACTCCTCCTCTCCTCTGYCTGACGAGCTGGAGTATAGTAGTTCCAAAGCAATTTCTTGCAATGGCCCCAGTTTGTGGCAGGCTCCACAATAGATCYGACGAAGGACTTGAGGTGTTCCCTTACAAACAGAATAAAACCCCTCACCCTCAGGCTTGGTGGCTCATTGATGCTATCTGCAAACTCGTCGTAGCCCTTCAGGAATTCCCACAGGTTAGTGGCATCGAAACGGATGGGTTGTCCATCCCTTCCTAATGGCGATGGGTGCAAGCGATCCCTTCCTAATGGCGATGGGTGCAAGCCCTCCATCTTCCTCTCAAAATCCTGCCAGGTCAATGACTCCCTGACGAAGTTGGCAAGGGGCTGTGCCCACTCGCCTGCTCCTTGCACCTTCCGCAACAGCCTGCTACTATCCCATCCAAACTCATGACCGTGCCTTCTGAACCCAACCATGAACAGCTCAACGTTGTCTCCTGTATAAATGGGTGGCCTGTCCTCTCTCCTGGCCCTCATCTGCGTCCCCTGTCTGGTAACCCCCAGAGGGGTCTCCACTGGCCCTGCCCCTCCACTCCCTCTTGGCATGGCTGCCCAAAAATTGGTGTCAAGCCTGCACAACAAGGAAGAGACAGACAAAAACACACAGAGGGTAAGCAGGTTCGGCAAACAAAACAGGAGACAGACATTCCCCTCCCATATCTACCTTAACTACATATACATACATGTGTAAATACACGTATACAAATCTATCTTAATACTATACTCTATCACACCATTCTACTGAGAAACATACACAATTTTCTCATATATATATATATATATATATATATCTATCTAGTAATACTTATCAGAAAGGGACTCTAAATTGTGGGACCCATGCTCACCTCGTCTCGAGCAACAAACTTCTTCAACCTCAAGCCTGACACCCAATCTTTCCAGGCAGTCCCATTCAGCTCTTCAATCTGGTATGCCCCATGCTCTCCACTCCTCGCGACCCTATATGGTCCTAACCACCTCTTGTCCAACTTTCGCGACCACTGCTTCTCTAAGGATGAATCATATAGCAGCACAACGTCACCCACCTTGAGAGACTCCTTCCTTACCCTTGCCATCTTATCCCATCTGAACTTATCCCTCTGTCGGCTGTCAGCCACCTTACTCGCCGCACTTTCAATTATGTCCTCTATGGCATTAATCTGACGAGCCCTTAGTTCTAGCAGTTCCTCAAATGACAAGTTTGTCTCGAGGTCCTGCCGCCTCCAAGTCTTTAGGAAGCTTTCGATAGGGGAGGTCGTATGTCTGCCATACCACAACGTTGCTGGCGCGTAGTTGGTGCTTCTTCTGACAGTGATGTTATCCACGAAGAAGGCAACCCTTAGGAAGTTAGGCCACTGATTTGGCCTACCATTCGTCCACTTAGCGAGGAGATTCGTAATCGTACTATGACCCCTCTCCACAGGTGCATTAGCTTGAGGGTGCCCCGCAGTAGTATACTCTGCGATCACTCCATACCCTCTCAGCAGTTCTTTTACCTCAGCACAAGTGAATTCGGACCCTCTGTCCATTACGAATCTGGAGACAAAAGGATAGCGGAGGTAATACTCCTCAATGCATCGAGCCAAGGTCTCACCAGTTTTTGTGCGTATGGCTCTGCCATCTACAAAACAGGAGAGGTTGTCTCGTGCATCGAAGATGAAGTTATACCCACCTACTCCCAGCGGCATTGCCAATAAGTCCAAATGCACGACCGCCCCAACCTCGCGTACGTACCTTGGGTGAAGCGGCTCCCTAGGTCTAATGGAAGACCGCGCTTGGCATGGAACACATGACTTGCAATAATCGTTGATCATTCGTCCCATACCATCCCAATAGTATAGCTCGTGTATTTTGAGGAAAATTGTATCCTTACTCCTATGGCCACCTGCCTTACCATCATGTAGAGCAGCTATGACGTCGATCTGACGAGCGATGCCACAAACTACCCTTCTTGGAGTCTTCCCTTTACTCCTCATAAATAGATGGTCATCCCTTACCAAGAAGTTTGGTCGCATCTTGAGGACATCCTCGCACGCATCTCTTTCTCTCATTTCGCACGAAAGGAGCATTCCTAATTCCAGATATATCCCGTCATACTCCTCCATGCGAAAAGCCTCTTTTATCTTTCCCTCTTCAAAATCGTCGTCCTCTCCTTCGTGAACTACATTCTCATTCTCACCTTGCCATTGATCCCCAATCCTTGCCACCTCGTCTTCAAGCATAGCATTTGCCAAGAGGTATATCCCACCTATCGACGTCTCGTGCCCTTCTACCTGTTGCGCCCCATTTTCCATTGCGAGTAGGTCTTCGTGCAACTGGTATTTGTCTGCTAAGGCCAGATCCATCATCCACTGCACGTTTGACATCCCCCACGAGTCCTCTTCGATGAAAGGCTTAAAGACTAGGTCTGGCCGTCGTACATGTCCTGGAGGCGAGAGCCACACAGGTTGCCCAGGAGGAACGTAGTTACCCACGACCATCGACCAGGAGTTGATGTGAAGTCTCACATCCTCCTCAGTGTCCAGAAACCCGTCGACTGGCGGAGTATCCTCGATCACTCCTTGATTATTTTTGTCCCAGTCGACTCGACTCAATTCGTCTGCTCTATTCTTATTTCCTGGAATTCGCTCTAATTCAAAATCAAACATCCAGATGTATGTTAACCACCTGGCGATAGTCGGGTCTGATGGAGCGAAATTCTTGAGAGAACCGACTAGAGCA